ATCTGCAGCGATCTGATTTAGCAGCTAAGTACAAGTAACTAAGTGTAATCATACTTACATAACCATAAAAGCGAAAGTTTAGATGTTTGTTAGAGTTTGTAGCTTTAGGCTGAACGAATTCAATGAAATTTTGTATACATATAGTCTAGAACACATAGGCTACTCTTTTGTTTTATTTTTAATAACTCGCAGACGGAGTCGCGAGCGAAAGCTAGTAAAAATATATAAATATTTACAAGTGTGAGCGGGTGACGGTTCCTGGCGGGGCTGAGCGCGCGGCTGCGGGCCTCCTCCACCTCCAGCTGCAGGATGCTCTCCTGACTGCCCGTGAACTGGACAAACAATAACAATAACAATTGGGATAAAATATTTATCGGCTTGCGATTTTCATGGGACTAGATGGTACTAATCTTACTAATATTATAAATGCGAAAGTTTAGATGGATGGACGGATGGATATTTGTTAGCGTTTGTAGCCTAAACGGCTGAACGGATCTCCAAGAAATTTGGCACATGTTTAGAGCATAGTCTGGAAGAACACATAGGCTACTTTTTATCCCGGGAATAGTTACGGTTCCCGTGGGATTCATTAATTTGGTTTTTTAATGTTTACTCGATCATTCTGCAACGGTTCAACATATCTTATTGAAATTTGGCACAGATATAAAACAAAGTCTGGAGTACACATGGGATAAGCTTCATCCCCGAGAAATGTCCGGTTCCCGAGGGATACGTAGCTTTTCGTAATTTATATAGTTCGTATGTTTTCTAATACCACGCGTACGAAGTCGCGGGCAACAGCTCGTATTTATTATAAAACACAGTATGGTACAATTTTAAATCATAAAAATATTTTATTTACACTAGATGGCGCTATTATAAATATTAAAAATATTGTACATATCGTTTTTACATATTTACGAGACATACATTTAAGGTTTTAAAATTTACTTAAATTATTTATACTTTAAAGTTTTTACAGAAGTATTATTAACAGTAGACTCTTTAGAGATAATCTAATTTTCCTAAAATTTTGTGAAACTGCATTTTCTATTTAAACTAGATGGCGCTTTTCTTAATATTTAAGTATTCGGAAAAGAAATAAATATGAGCAACGTACCACGAAGCCGTAGTACTTGAGTATGTCCATCTTGCACATGGGGCAGGTGCGGTGCTCCAGCAGCCACGGATCGATGCAGTTCTTGTGGAAGTTGTGTCTGAAAAACACGTTATTTCCTTGTTAAAGTCGAAACATTCATACGAAAACATGAATGAAGAAAAAATATGATGTTTTTGAACTTTATTGCCATGGAATAATAAATTTCGAGAACATTAGCAGAGGAAATATACGGAAAATGATTTATGCTGGGTTTCTGAAGTTTCCAATTATTTTGTCACTAACGAATGATTAAACGTAACTGGGAAACCGGTCATTAAATAACTACGTTTTATTTAACTTAAATTTGCGTCAATTTTGGTGTTTTAATTTTTTTATTTGTGTTTTAATTTAACTCACCCACAAGGAAGAGATCTTAAAGTTTCCGATACTTTGTAAGGCTCTATACAGATGGCGCAGCACTCGCCATCGCCTTGTACTTCCTGCGAAAACACACATATACATTATCTTTACTAATATTATAAAGAGGAAACATTTGTATTTTTGTGTATTGAAATAACTCACAAACTACTGGTCCGATTTTAAAAATTCTTTCACCGTTAGGAAAGTAATTTATCTGTGAGTAACATAGGCTATGTTTTATTATTATTTTTAATGTCACGCGGATGAAGTCGCTAGCAACAGCTAGTCTACTAATATTATAAAGAGGAAACATTTGTATTTTTGTGTATTGAAATAATTAAAAAACTACTTGACCGATTTCAAAAATTCTGCCATCATTAAAAAGCTATGTTATCAGTGAGTAACATAGGCTATGTTTTTTTTTATTTTCTTAATTTCACAGGATTGTAATCTATTCTAATATTATAAAAAGGAAAGATTTGTATTTTTGTATGTATTGTAATAATTTAAACAGTAGTGGACCGATTACAAAAATTCTTTCCCATTAAAATGCTACGTTATCAGTTAGTAACATAAGCTATGTTTTTTTTAACACGGACAAAGTCGCGAGCAACAGCTAGTACGTAAAATAAATTCACTTACTCGATCATCAGACTTAAGACTTTTAGTAGGAATTTTCGAAAGCGCCTTCTTTGCAGCACAACATAAGCGTTTCTGTAAATAAACATTTGTTTTAAAGACAAACATAGTTTCTAAGAACGTTAGGACTAAGGAGAGATTTCTAAAAATGTCTTCAACAATGAACATCATTATTACTATAATCAAATTAAATATTATCAGATATTACGACTAAATAAAGATAATGTACTAGGCCTTTCATAACCCCATATATCTATATTCGCTTATTTACTTCATAATGTATTTTAAATGATTTATATATAAATAATTCCTAAGTATAAATATTCAAAGAAAAATACATACAGAAAAATTGGAAACAACTGCGTTTTAGAAGTCGGTAGAAAAGGAAACGACTCGACTAGAAATTTTAGAATCGATCTCAGATATACAATAACTAGTAAAACCTGTGCCAATAAAATACAAGTACTCGTATATAGAGCGGCGGTGGCTCAGTGGTTTAAGCACTTAACTTGTAATTTACAGGTCTTGGGTTCGTATTCGGCCATGTACCAATGTGATTTCGAATTTTCCTATGTACATAATTTACCCGACGTTCTTACTATGAAGGAAAACATCGTGATGCCTGCACATATCGGTAAAGAAATTCAAAAATATGTGCGAAGTCCACCCGCAGTGCAGTGTGGTTGACTATGGCCTAGTCACCCTTAGGGTAGGCTCCTAACCCCTCGGTGGGGATGTATAGTGAGCTGGTTATATAAAGGTGTGTACATACAGAGAGGCGGTCCTTAGCGTGTATATATCTGAAGCGCTGGATGTAGTAAAAGACGAGCCACGCGAGAGATATCACCATTAACACGATGAATGAGATGGACACGAACAGCACCGACGTCCTGCAACGTAATACATTAATTAAAAATCTACTAGTACTAATGTTTAAGGATATAACATAACATTATTAGAACATGTATCATTACGTTTAATTTTTTAGATTCTTTAGGGGAAGGGGGGGTAGTTGTGCTCTCCTTTCCCCACCCAGCAACCCCAATTATATTTTTAGTAAGCGGGCTCTACCGCTTTAACATCTTCGCACGAATACACCGGCTGGTCCGATGAAATACCACAACCACACAGAAGACAGGCGTGAAGTGGGAGTAATTCTGAGTTTCCTCTGATGAATTCACGTGGTGCCAGAGGCCTGATTGTCGCCCCTTTCCCTTCCCATCTTTCTTGCAAGCAAAGGATAGGAAGGGAGAGTGGATTTGATGGTGAAAAATATACATAGGAAGGGTTTATATCCTATTTATGTGGGTTTCTTCCTCTGTCAATTAAGGATAGGCAACGAATCTGCAATTACGGATGTCTATGTCAGTGGTCGCTACGCCTTTTTGTCGAATTCAAGTGGCCGCCCGCTCGTTTGCCACCTTATAATAAAAAAAGAAAAGTGCGCAGCGTCACGGCAATATACTTAGTTTGGTTTGGATGACACATATGGTCTTACTGCGGGTTTCCATCTAACATTATCAGACAATTTAATTATTTCCGTGCTCTCAATAAACTTATATAGACGTTCTGACAGTCGAAACCCACGCTCAACTAACAGTATGAAAATAGCTGTAGAAATAATTAATTAAAACGGAAAACCTTGATTCATTATCGTGGACGGAATCCAAGTGTCCGCGGTTTATAGGAATGCATGTCTATATTTACTGCATTCGTTTCATATGAGATTGCGGTTACGTCACTATTATATATTACAAATTTCTATTATCTATTATATATAACAAAAATATTGAACTAATCTATATCTATACTAATATTATAAAGAGGAAAGATTTGAATGTATGTATTGAAATAACTCAAAAACTACTGGACCGATTTCAAAAATTATTTCACCATTAGAAAGGTCATTTTTCTGTGAGTAACATAGGCTATGTTTTTTATTATTGTTTTAATTCCACGCGGGCGAAGTCGCGAGCAACATCTAATATTTTATATGCAGAATTTTATATGGATGTTTGTTAGAGTTTGTAGCCAAAACGGCTGCACGGATCTTGATGAAATTTGGCGTAGACGTAGATGATAGTCTGGAATAAACATAGGCTACTTACTTTTGTTTATTTTTTAATTTCACGCGGACGCAATCGCGGGCGAAAGCTAGTAAGATTATAAACTAGTTGTATTCCTTTATTATTGCTACGTACTTATTAACGCCAGTGATACGCGTGATAGTCTGTCTACCCTTGATGATGGCCACTATGACGCGGGTGCCGTTGTCTGCCAGCCGAGTGATCTCCTCGCCTTTCCATTTGTACGTGAACACAGCACTTATGTTACCTGTAACCATAGAAATACAAATAAACATAGAGGGGACATTTAAATTATTTCCCTGACAAAATGGACTAACGGAAAACTTTTAAGAATGCAAGTGACACTTCACAGATTTAATTAGGCTATTTAATCCAAAAAAAATATAGGCATTACGTTACAAAGCGATTTTTTACTCAAAACAACTTACGAATGGGCATTTGGGACTCATTTGGGACTTTCAAACGTTCCATAAAACTGCAGTAATAAATCATAACGTACATCTAGTTTATCATTGTTGCTTTGACAATTAAACATACGGTAGCCAACTCAGGGGAATCCTAGTAGCGGACAACTCATAACTTATGACACCATAATTATTAACATTTTACCGTCAGAACTTGTCTTTGAAAACGACGTATTCACTCGTAATAAATGACACATTTACAAACTCCTAATAGATTTGGAATCATATTTTAGTCTCAAGCCCAATTTTAGTCTTTTACACCCTTTTTAAGAGGAAAGATAGGAAGGAAAAATGGATTTGACGGCAGAGGAGACGCTTAGAAAGGGGAAATATGCTCTTTACTTTCGACTTCTTCTCCATCGATTAAGGGTAGGCAACGCATCTGTAATTGCGGATGTCTAAAGGCGCCATTTCGGCGGATTCAGGTAGCCGCTTGCTCGTTTGGCACCTTATAATATAAAAAAAAATGAAATGGCACAGCCGGGTGCAATACCACAACCGTATAGAAGACTGGCATAAAGTGTAGTAACTCTGCGCTTCGTTTGATAAGTGCGCATGACGGAGCCCTAAGTTTAGTCATTCCCCTTGCCACCCTTAGCACACAAAGAAAGGATGGAAAGGGGAAGATTGAGACACAGATAAGAGAAATATAAAGTTATGCTACGCATTTGCAAATGAAGATTTCTATAGGTAGCTATCGCGAAATTTGGCGAATTCCGATGGCCGCTTGCTAGTTTGTCATACATAAAAAAAGTTTGGTTCAAACGGTACAAATTTTCATTGAATAAGTGACGTGTGTAATTACAATAGTTGCGTCATATAAGATGATAATGACAAGCTCGATATCATCACGTCTGCGAAGACCATTATATGGCTAAATGATAAGTCACATTCGTTTGAACTTGATTCGATTTGAACACAACAATGCCATACAAAGCCCTTTTGTTTAAAAAAATATGGCTGTTCCTCGACATATAGAACAGATTTAGCAATTTTGGCCTATAGAAATACGACAAATATGAATCCAATTATTTGAAAATCTTTAATAGACAATTTCATTTTTTCACATATATTATAATCAGTTAGTGTATTTTTGGAAAAACACTGGCAGTAAACCTTTTACTGTAATGTTTTATTAAAAAACAAGTACATATTCGACAAACGAATTTAAATTTGGAATGCGATGAAATGTGTACATGAATGTTTACGGTAGCAATCGGAATGATTTTTAGTGAAGATATGAGATGATCTTCCTTGTAATAATTACTCAATAAATTTACCTTATTTTTGCGGAAATTAAAGAAATTGTTTGTCATTTGTCATATTTCCGCAGAGGATAATAACATATTTTCCTTTAACTTTTTCTTTCCGCAAACTAAAAATATACACGATCGTTTTATGTTTTAATTGAAAAGGGGCAAAGGGAATTGATATTAATGAGAAGGGTATATCGATAGGGGGTGCCCTAGTCGAATATGTTGTTTCAAGTATTGTTATGAGCTTATGACGTATGAATGACGTCACATATCCATAAAGAGAAATATTTAGCATCGAATGACTCGTGTAAGTAAAACGGGATTTAATTATGAAAAAACATATTTTTTTTCATATATAGTGAACAGAAAGCAAGCTAAATTTTATAAAAAAGACTGCAGCACACAGAATTATGAAGTGGCCACCCTTAGTGATAAATTAACTCTTTGTTGCGGTAGCAAAACGCGGAATGGATTAACAAAGAGAAGTATTAACATATGTTTACGAGTAGATACTACGAAAGTAAAGTACAAGATAAATGCAAGTGACCGTTGGCGGACTGGATGACCTCGCTACCTTACCATTGGCTTTCATTGCTACGTATGAACGACAAACAAAATATTCTTATCTCATTTATTTTGCAGAGAATAAGCGAGACAGCAATATTTATTTTTACGAATGTTTCCGCAGTGGAAACCTAACACAAAGGTAAATAAGCAGGCATGGACAATGCTATTTTAATATGCGTAGAAAAAAATGACGCAAATACAAAATTCAATACGATAAGAAGCATTGTATAATAAAACTAGATATGTTTGTACTTAAAGTTTTTAACTACATAATATTGGAAAATAATGACTTTTATGTTTTCAATAGTAACGATATTATTATAATAGTATAGTTAAAGTGGACTTAATAATATAGGAAATTCGAAGAGTTATAATTTTTAGTAGTTAGTTATTGATAAATGTTTATGGTAAAGTATATAACCACGTTAACATCCATAATATGAAACTGTTTAACTATTGACTAAACTATTGCACGATAGTTGTGCGATTGTCGAATGTTTTACAGTCAACAACAGTTTAGTTGCACAACTAAAATAGAGTAATCAAAGCAAGATTAAACAATTGTACGATAGTTCAGTTAGTCAGTCGGTTTGCACTCTTGGCATTAATTCTCGATATACAAAATAGTTGATGTATTTATTCGTATTGTAAAACGTGATAATTTAACAAACTTTATCAAATAAAAGAAACAATCTATCAATCTGTGCTTAAAACTGTAAGAGGTTATCAAATGTGTGTCGCAACACATTTTATCTTACAGATAAATTCTTTGTTACGGATGAAGATAAAATTAGGCACGTCTAGAGTCAAACAAACAATACAACATATGTCCAGTAAATAATTTTCATTGATTAGCAACTTGAAACATGAAATTATCTACGTGAAGGCCACGATACAATAAGAAATAAATCATAATTTAAACAGCACAATAATGATACAAAAGGCGGATCTGAATTTGAAAATACAGAATTGATGTCATAATTATTATTTGAATAATAGGTAATTAACTAGTTGTTATATCAAAAATCTACAAGCTCAGATATTACTGATCTATATGAATGGATAGGCATTGTTGGTAATGACGAACACGCCCAAACATAACAATTAATTCTATCTCTATTAGTTCAAATACAATTAGCCAGCAACCGCGACAGTCAGCACCAAGATGGCGAAATTCAAATAGTCACAAAGTACCACGTTTTATAGCTTATCCATTTATTAGTGTCAATTTCACTCCCATAACACTCGGGAAAGAATTACATTTTACCAAAGTTTTACGAAATATTCAACTTACGTCCATTATCTGTGGATAATTTCATCTTCTCTAGGTCGGGGGCGTCGCGGTCGTTGTAGATGAGGACCGCAGAGGCGTTGGCGCGCCACGCATTGTTCACCTAAAATAACAATACACATTAATGTACAAGAATATATCGCCATCTCAGTTTATTCAGAGAGAATAAAAGAGAACAAAATATATTTGGCAATCAGTGTCGTGTGAATCTTTAAGCATTTTGATATTCTCCATTCAAAGTTATTCAACAAGGATTCTTAATTCCGAAGAAGTTCGATTAACTGTTTTTATTCTATTCTTTTCGGCCAGCATTACTCATAGTTCTATCGCAATTTTTATCATAAAGAATGAAAGAGATGACAATATTTTGTATAAATGTTTCGGCAGTGAACGATACGAGATCGGATCCGAAATATGTCTATGCGTGATCAATGCCAGTATCAGCGGATCAATCTTCGATATCGGACGTTGGGATTATTAAGTCTAATAGCGACAGGATAAATACTAGATTGTCTAGACGATGGGAGACTTGAACGCTTATCATATTTTATTTATCTGTGTCATGTACTTACAAATAAATTGTAACTCACATCAATCATAAGTGTGATTACCAAAAATGGGACAAATATTTGTTTTCGTTTTGGAAAATTCATAAAGTTTTATAAAATGTAGACTTAACGTGTTTTAGTATTTCTAACATTTTTTAAACTTATTGCCGTCCCTATTATTGTCCTTGAAATAAAAAAGAGATAGTTATTTCTGTTGCTATGTTTTTTGTGAGTGACATCTGGCAGTAATAGTCAGCTTAACTAGGTATTTACTTTAGGTTATTACACTATATCAGATAATCCCAGTACCTTAATATAGGGTGAGATATGAAGTCACGTGAACACTGATTACACTATTTTATGACAATGTAACGATATATAGATATACTTAATAAATAGTGCGTAATAATCTTACTAATATTATAAATGCGAAAGTTTAGATGAATGGATGTTTGTTAGAGTTTGTAGCGTAAACTGCTGAATGCTGAGATCCGCTCAATAAAATTTAACACAGATGGTGCTTAGGCTACTTGCTTTTGTTTTCTTTTTCAATTCCATTCGAGCAGAGTGGCGAGCGAAAGGTAATGTCTAAATATTAGTGAACTTCCAAGGTTACTATCATAGCAAAAATATCACAATGAGAAAAAAAAACTCCAAAGTATACAATAGACAAAAAAAGGTCCAGAACACATTGGAACCCTAATCCGATATAAATATTTATACAGTTGCCTTCGATCGACAATTCCAAGGCACGATTTGAAAAAACTAGAAGCTCTTGTTTAAAATGCGTTACATTACGAGATAGCTTTCAAAATCGTAACATAAGGACATTGGTACTGTGAAATATATTAAAGGCAGTTCAAAGAAACGATTCAAGATACAAATCTTGAAGCAGGACATTTATTTTCAATTCATAATCTATACATAAAATAAAATTGGAGTGCCTATTTGTAATATCAAAAGAAAAATTTCAGATTTTGAGAAGATGGTGTATTGGCGTTGCTGATAACGAAAATCGCATTTAAAAGTCTCTCTGTGTGTCTGTCCGCAAGCCGCGATTGTTCCGGGCAATCTCCTAAACGGCTGAGCCGATTTCGACCGGGCTTTCACTGAAGAGTAGCCGACAAAGACGGGCTTTTAGGCTTTTTTAATTCCGCGCTGTCAAAATGACGAAACGGGTGATCCAAATTTGCTCTAACGAAGTTTGCGGGCAGCAGCTCGTTGAAATATGTTTATATCGTAATTGCTCTAATTCTCATTTAATAAACCTATGCTATTAATATACATAACTTTGAATATAACATACCTTGATCTCGAAGTTACAATTCCCTCGTTTAATAACTGCAATCCAAGGTTCAGACGGCAGTGGTTCACCGGGAGCAGCGGCCGAGAGGAGTGGCCACTTGCACCCGGTGTGGTCCTTTTCTCCTTCTGGTCCCGCGGCCCGCACGTGAACGGCGACCCCTCTCGACGAGCCCACGAAACCCTCGCCGTATTTACCAGTCTGTTGACAAAATGCATCTGTTTTAAATAAAAATTGTAGTTTAAATTCTGATGTTGATAGTTTTGCATTTTGTGAAATATACAACTTTATTACATGTTTTAACTTTTTTAACACTTTTAGTTTTGACAAACTACTATACAATCTTTAGTTTATACTAATATTATGAAAATTTTGTTTGTTGGATTGTAATGAATTTACTCAAAAACTACTAAGCCGAATTTAAACAATATTTTACCGATAGCAAGGTTATTTATCTGTGAGTAACATAGGCTATGTTTTTCATTTCTTTATTGTTATTTTTAAATTTCACGCGGACGGAGTCGCGGGAAAAATCTAGTTGTTAATATAGGACTTCAATCTTATTTGATTTTATGTTCATAATGCGTTTAACACAATTTAGATACTTAATACAGTAATGCTCAGGTTATTCCGGCATTTCTCCCATTTTATTTAGTTAAATGTCAATGTAAGACCAGTTAAAAAAAATGAACTTTTTGAGAGTTTTACATCGGTTCGTATCAAGATTCATTAGTCGCAGTATATATAGTAGACATACAGATATACATAAGGTTCGGTGGACCCGATACGCGGTGGCCAGTCCAAACAGTTTCTATGACGTCACTCGCTTATGTTTATTCATCGGGAGTCGCCATCTGTCCCTTCGCAACATTTATAAATAAACGTATGCACGAATATAAATTAAATGTATGTCTGTTATTATATAAATATGACTTGGACATGTAATTTCATACTAATACTTGTAAATTTTAGGCTATGTGTAGTTTTAGTATTTAATCTTAAATCTTTTTTTGTGTCCGAGATCAAAATATAAACTTGGAAGAATGAAAACCTATAAGAAATGTATACTACTTAAATTTTATGGTTTTAATGAAGTCCTCTGTCGATTAAAGGCAGGCAGCACTGCAATTGCTATAGATAATGGGCAGCAATCGCTTCGCAATTTCAGCGAATGTTCGCTTGCTCGTTTGTAAAAAAATCGCTTTTTCATCTTCTATAGGCTATACTTTGCCGATATACTAATTTATGTAAATATAGAAGTTACAATTTATATCTAAAACACGGAGCAGACATAAATCAAGCAAATATCCTTGCAAAAGATGACAGGCTCTTTGAAGTTAGTGTAAGTATCTACGCTTGCGCCGCGAGGGACATTAGAGAAACGCATCGCTGATTCTATGGAGATTTATGTTACCGTGAAAACTTATAATGGATATGTTTGAAGTGCACTATACAATATTGCTATATTCCGACCAAGACATATGTTTTATAGGTTAAGTAGAAACCTATTAAGTACAGCAACGCAAAGTTTTAAAATTCATTAATGTTACTAGTAAGGATCTCGTAAGTAAGTCACCCGATAAATGATCAAACATGTATAATCAAGCTATTAAAGCATCAAAAAGTTATCACGTATCATTTGTAATTTGCCAAAAATGTATGACAAAAACTTTGATCGTTTACGAGATTCTGTAGCGTTGTCAATAAGGCAAATTGCAAATACAAACGTTCTATGTTCATTTGTAACTTCACAACTATAGATAAAGGTACATTCCTGTGTTAGTTCGTCATGTTGGTTACTCTACATCGTACAAGAGTATAACCGTTTCAAAAGACTTCATGAACTTTTGCCACAGCCCTACGTAAAGGTTCTCCTACTTGCTTCAGGTTGGCAACCCTGCATCAATCGTATAGAGTAAACAAACCGGCCAGTGGCTCAGCTCGGCGTGATCGCAATTACAATGAGCGGCTCACCTTGGCTTCCGCTTCCTTATTCGGCATCGATGTTGTTCTCGCAAGGAAAAGGTACGTAGCGCCATCTGGCTGACTTATGATTAAACAATTTAAAGCGTATAAACAAATTCAAGAATGCAGGTGAAAAATCGAAAAATATAATCTTCCCTGTCACCTTCTGGTAACTTCAAGGTTAAACCTATGTTAACATCAATGGGTGTGGTGTTTATTGGCTTTATATTTTTCTTCGTAATGTATACCTACATGCAGCCAGCATTATTAAGCACTTTAAAAACAAATTAAATAAAAAAGTTAAAATGTTGTTTCAATTTTTTATAAGTTCTTACAAAACAAAAAAGTCAAAGAAAAACATGGAAAACGAATTGTTTTTTTATAAAGAAAATACGGCACGAAACATAACACATTGATGTAAGCCGGATAAACACTGTTATCCGGCTTACATCAATGTTGCCACGTAGCATATTTTATGATATCGTAAAATAATAATTATAAATATGCGAATGGGTTAAGTGTTATTTTGTCTTGCATGTATTTATTTTAGCATTTACCTATAGATAATAACTTTTTCCTCGAATATTATAAAAACTATTTAAGTTAATGGGGAAAACAGGATAAGTAGGTTGTCCACAAAATTCGGAAAATTGAGAAAATGTACATTTCAATAATATTTTTTGAGATAAATGTATACACGGCAAATGTATTACCTTTTATTCTTTAATAAAATAATTTTACATATAAATTAATACAACATGCTTATCGCTATTGTTTTAATTGTCTGCCATAACAATAACAAACTTCGCTTCCACAAACCGAAGCACGCAGTTAAATTTACAATTGATCACGAGTTTATAGCTCTTATTGCTATAGACATAAATACTAAAATTAAATGCAATCTCCACCATGCTGTGAATACTGATGCCAACAAAGTTTATGTTTAATAATCAATTATACAATCGATTTTCAATTCTATCACCAAAGCATACAGCTGAAAATCCTTTGTTATTGGCACGGAGTTTGCCTACGTTACTTGCTGTACCCTACGGGCATATAGGGCTGTCAACTTTTAACGATGACCATTATCACAAAAAAAAAAATAAGATCTCTTGGTCCATACCGAACAACTAAAAAAGCAACATACAAAAGCTCACTCCATCCAATCTACTATAGACAGATACTAAACCCACAAGTCTTAAAATAGTCAGAAAATTTGGTTTAAACACGAAAAGGTGTCAACCCTAGTCGTAAGTGAGTCATTATGGGACGAGCCTGTCCATTTTAAGATGACATATGAATCATCTGTTTACGTAACAAATTAAGTACATAATAATTGTCTGTTGCTAACCAAAATAAATCAAAACAATATAAAAAATCCAACCCTTTTCTAGTATTTCTTAACATACGCATTCCACTAATTAAAAAAAAACAATAACTTGAATATTATTAATAATATAAAGAATCCTTTTCCTATGTTTCTGTAAGATTAAATTACATTTTTACATATAAGTATTTTTAATAATAAAGTTTGTCCTATTGAGGTTATCATACTCAGAATAGCTTGCATCCGGTTTAACGTTACAATATTATAAATTCTCGGAAACACTAAAATACAATATTAATTACATATAACTATAGAATACAGAATTATAGCACGAAATATACAATTTATAAATTCTACAATTATCCCTTATAGATTGACATGTTGTTTAAAAAAAAACAAGTAAAATACTTATTTCTAGCCTAAATATTAAGAAACACACTACTAATGTGGACATTTTCGACACATTTATAAATACCCGTAGAAACATACGAGATACTACAAAGAGCATTGACATTGACTTAGTAGTACGAAATAAATTTAGCTAAAAAAAAAACATCTTTCGTGAATTATTTAAAACGACTTACATTTTTGCGTGATATTAGATGGAAAATATTTATAAACATCGAGTGCATTGACTCGATTAAATTGATTCAATTCGCTGGCTAATTGCCATTCAGTTTGCTGAAAATTCAATGATTCCGGAGAGAAAAGACATAGGCAATATAAATGGCTTCGTGCAGAAATAATTTTTCTAGTTGATAAGCTTATTTTTAGTATACCTTTTGTAATGTTTGTGCTATAAGTGTTGTATTTTTGTATGTATTGAAATAACTCAAGTACTACGGGGATATTTACAATTTTTTTTCTAAACCGGTTAGTAACCTAATTAATGATAAGTGGATGATAGGTTGACAGGTCGGAAAAGGAATATCTATGACTAACTGTTGCTCGCGACTTCCCCGTGGGTAATTAAAAAAGTAATAAAAAACATAGCCTATGTTACTCACTGATAACGTAGCTTTTAAATACATACAAAATACAAATCTTTCCTCTTTATAATATTAGTATTAATGCGGCTAAATACGGATTTGTAATTTTCGTCTTATTTAAAAAAAGATATAAACATGGTAATTTTCTAATATAAATATGATACCATGTGATATCGGTTTAAATTATAATCGTTTCCTTAATATAACCCTTTTAAAGGTCAAATAATACGCTTCAAATAATTTAAGGGGTAACAAGACCCGTTTAAATATAATTTGATCAAAGGCCGAGAACATCCTGTGTTAATTCAGTTTAGTATAAATAATTAAGGTTGAGTACCAAATCCTAAATGTCACATTTCGATCCATACAACGAAAATAACTAACAAATTTTATAGTCTCTAAGCAGTAGTAAGTTTTTTCATGAGATGGGTAATTTGTAAATATAAAATACCTTTAGAATCATATTTTTTTATTAAAAGTAAGATTTTTTAGACTACGCTTAAATGTAAAGTACTAGGTAACGAAAATACTCGAATAGGATTCGAATCTTGACTACGTGATTGGTAATCCGTACTTTAAATCACTAGTCTATCGGCGTTTCTGTTTGAGTATTGTTTCAATATTCACATGACTTAAGTCTATATTTCAACATATTGAGTATACAGTATAGTGGTTGTCAAATTAATCATACGAAAACATTAATTAAGTAACTTGTTATTTAATTTAAAAAAGAATTAAAAAGAGAAAACGAAAAAGTATTGTCAATAAAACTTGTAAAACGATCATTTCTGTACATCACTAGCTGTCAACTTCTTTATGTTATCTGTGGATTAATAATGATGTTGCAGTATCGATAAAATCGAGTAAAGTTATCGATATGTGCCTACCCAGCGCGAGTGCCTTGGTTGGCGACTAGCGACACGATGATTCAACATGGCGGCTTACCCCTCCTCCTCCTCGCCCCTCGCTCGATAGTAGCCTAGCGGCCTCCAGCGGGACAGACGTCTTTGTATCGTAACGTGGCAGAAAAATGGACTGTACTCTCATAGAAGCAGTATCTCGAAGAGAACCAATATGGAATCCAGCCAGTTGTCTACATAGAAACACGAATGTTTTGAAGTGTCTCTGGCAAGAGGTCGCTAATGAAGTGAACAAGGATGGTGCGTATTTAGAGTCGTAAGTTTTATTGAGTATCTGTGGTGACCTTGAGATAGGGCTGCCACGTTTTACAGTTCGCAAGGTGCAAGTTCGGGCGATGTATTTGAAGAATATCTTCAGAGTAGACTGGGTAGTGTTGCAAAAGACTTTATCGTTTTTTTACGCTGTCGGTGTTTGGGCCTACGTTACGTTACTAATGAAGATTGACAGCCCTAGCTGGCATTCAGTTAATATACATGTTATAAGTATTGCAATAAATAACATGCAGTCTTTGTAAGTTTATTGCATTGTAAAATACAAGACAGTAAAGTAAAAAGTAGTATTACGCAAAGGCTGTTTGACGTTTGTCCACATTAGTAGGTCAAACTTTAAAATGTAAACAAAACGTTATCCATACAAAAACATACATATGAAAGTGCCGTTACCAAATTTTACTTATATTCGACTAGCTGTTGCACGCGACTTTGCCCGCGTGAAATTAGCAAAATAATACAAAATATAGCCTATTACTTACAGATAAATTACCTTTCTAATAGTGAGAGAATTTTTAAAATTGGCCTAGTAAGTTTTGCGAGAATAAAATACATACCTAAATGCAAACCTTTCCTCTTTATAATATTAGTATAGATATTTAAGGTATATTTTTTGTTACAGTGACATCAGTGAAATCGAGATGGAAAAATCTAAGATCGTACTTTGTCAAGGAATGTCAGAAAATGGACAGTAGAACTGCAGAAGGAGAGGAACAGATTAGTTCATGGCAGTACTTCGATGATATGCAGTTCCTTCGACCAACTTTAACATGTTACAAAACTGTCAAGCAAGAAGAATACGACGGCGATGAAATATTCATCACCAACTTGGATAGTATCGCTAACCCTGAACCTCTTTCCCCTGAACAATCTTCCTCTGAAACATCTCACACCACGCCAACGACAAGGAAAAGAAAGTTGCAAGCATTAGCAACAACTAGTGACACATTGATAGAACTGGAAAGGAAGAAATTAAAAATACTCGAAAGTGATATAGCCAGAGGTTCTAATGATGATTTATTGTTCTTCGAAAGTCTTCTACCATATATGAAGGAAATACCAATAGATCGGAAATTAAGACTTAGATCTAAAATACAAGATTTGATATGCGGAGAGTTGGAGGTTGTGCAGGTGATGCTGAACGATGATGACTAATTTATCTCAGAGGTTCCTAAACTTTTTTTAAATATTTAAATGGTTTCGGTGATTGCCTGATACATTTTTATTTCAACTAGTGAATCGATAAATGTGCTTACCGCCTTATCTTCGAAGAGATCTAACAATACCACTTAGAGATTTACGGATTTAACAATTGGTGTACCATGGAGTCGGTTGGTCTTCAACCTTAAAAGTTGCAATTAAATTGACGACAAGGAACAATAACCAATAGCAGGCAATTTTAAATGTGCACCAAAAAAACGGTTTTTGGTACAGCGCTTACTGATTATTATGCTGTCGTTTGCGCTATTAATTCCTACCTTGGTGATTTGCAAGGCGCTGTTTGTCTCGTTGTGAGGAATAAGGTAATGTTGCAGTTAGTGCAACATCGCGAAGGTACCTGACTACATATGACTATATACTGGCTGAAAATGGTGGCAAAAACAAAAGACAAGCTGTAATCAGTTTAAAGAAGGTTATGGAACATGAAGATCGGTGATGGAACAATGCAATTTTATATTTATTTGCGGGTATATAAGTAGGTTTATTTACCGTATTAAATACGCTTATGTTTTGGATAACATGTGATAGTTACATGTAAAATGTGTCATATATTTTTTAAGGTTCTTTGATTTTTGTCACAAGGTTGTTTTAATAAGTTCCTAAATAGTACCGGAAACAGAAAAATCTATTTATAGGTTAACCAAGAATATAAAAATCCTGGCCTGAGGGCGCCACAATCGTTATTTTACATCACTTTTTTTTCAAAGGCAATATTTAATTACAATATGGCGAGTGTTTATACCTGGTCGAGTTATACAGCACAAATAACGCAATCTCGGACGCACATTTCATTAGCGTGAGTTTCCACTGCATTAACAGTTGAACATAAATATACTGTTATCTTTGTTTATCTTACAGAGAACGAAAGTGATGGATTTTTCTGTATTTACCAGCAGTGGAAATTGGTTAAAGTACATATCATAAATGTACCTTTAATAATAAACATACATAACAAAAAAAATATCAGTTTTATTTCAATACCTATTTTAATATTAGTTAAAGTGTTTAACGAAATAATATAAAAATATGGGCCATTAAACATTGTTCACTTGCACAGCTGTAAATGTTTTTGTACGGCTTATCAAATAACAAACAGACCAAAGTCTGTAACCATTCCATGTCATATAAAACATACTTTTGTTACGTACCATATGCCATTCCAAATAAACGTTTAAGGGCCTGTCCCACCGCTGGCTGATAGAGGCTCAGATAGTTTAAAAATAACGTCACTGTTAGATAAGGGAACAAAATCCGATATACACATTTTACACGTTGGATTGTTATCAGACAATTTAAAATTTGGTGGGACGTGTCTTAAAACTTGTAAAGTGAAAAATATTAAATTCGATACAAACGGCCTTTGCGCTAATTCATGCTTTCATCAGAAATGTTTTAAATATGTGGAACTTAGGATACTTTAAAATATTTGGGTTTTAGTGTAAAACTAGTTCAAACTATTTCAAAGTTGAATTCCTAAGTGTTAGTATTAATGTAAATGATTAGTCAAGAAATACGGAGTCTCACTAGTGCGAAAATTAGGTCTTTTCTTTACTTTCTTGTCTCTTAAGTAATCTATAAACACAGCCGAGTGTAAGTAAATACGATAAGTTAGTACTCGCACGTCTAATTGTGATAACACGGATCTTATGCAATGCGGTAATGTGGAACATTTAGGAATAATGAGTGTATTAAATTTCACATCACATATAGACTAGGTTCCAATGATGTCATACTTTATATTTCCTTCACCGGGTAATTTCGTAACCTAGAACTTTTAAATTTATAATTAAATAAAGAAGATCCGAGCAAGGATATTAAGCATATCAGTATAATCAAATTAAACACCCTTTTCCACTGAGTCACGCGGTTTTATTACTAGAGATGGGGCATGGGATAAAAATCTCGCGTACGGATGATCGCTAGTAGAAAAAGGGTTTAACATTGTTTTCACTCTTCAAAGTGCAAGCGCTTTTCGTTCACTGAATAGCATTAGATTTTGTATACTTGATAACCTATTTATTGAAATACTAGCTGTTCCCGTGCGACTTCATCCGCCCTAACTTATGAAAAAATTATTTTATTGTTCACATGTGACAAATTATCACTTGCAAATGTCAAAATTACATGACATTATGAGAAACCATGACAATGTTGCTTCCTTAATGTTGGCAGCTTGTAGTTTATGGTCCCTTTCCCACATGAAGGTTTTCTTCCAATTTATTTATCCCCAAGTTTAAGAGCTTAAAAATAGATAACGTGTCGAAGTTTAGGGCTTTTTATTAAAGAAAGTGTTATTCAAAAACATGCTGTAGATCCTGACATCCTATGCCACAAAGTAGTGTGTGTTTACGCTTAATATTAGTATAGATAATAATCTAATCTATCTATCGATTGCCTTGTCTTGTACATTCCTTGTTAATTATATAATGTACATAGGGGATGACCGTGTTTATATGATTAGCGAAGACTGCAAACCGGTTCATTAATATCTGACTCGTTATATAAACACTGTAATGCAATAAAAGTACTTCGTAAGCAACTTATCGGATTATAATGTTGCAAAATATATATAAAAAAAGACTATCTATGTATTAAGACATTTATCATTAAAATGAAATTTACATAAACAATCTTTTTAATCTGTTATTTATAAATATGCTATAAAGATATACAATTTTATTTGGCTGAATTCCATACAGATAGTATTGTAATATCGACATAAATAGATATTTTTGAAGTCATGTAGAACATACTAGACTTGCTTGTCAATACATTATAGATACAAACTCCTAAAGCAAATGGTCTATTCTTTATTAATATCGTTAACACCACTTGTCTTAAGTGAAAGTTAAAAAAGATTGCTTTTTTAAATCTTGATTTTAATATTTTTTATTTCATTCAGAAGACAAGTTACGAAGCTGCTAAAAAAAGCCGGCGGCCGTACACCACTTTCCATGATCTTGAAGTAGTCCGTTTATGTCAACCTTTATAATCGTTAAGTGAGAGATTACTATAATACCAATAATAACAATTGACCTACTGGACTATCACGATGACGTAATAACAATAAAATCAACTCACCTCAGAGGTTTCCGTGTACAGCACACCATGCTCGTTCGGATACGTGATGTTAATGTAGGCCGCAGTGAATGTATCACTGAATCTATCATCAGCCGTCGCTAATCTCGACCCCGCGAACTCTCCCGCAGGGGCATGACATCCCACCATAACCGCAACCCAGCCTAGGGTTGCCAACTGCGACCACATTTCTTCCCGACGCATTTTAAAACACAAAGCACATTCGAACACACGTCTCGATGTTACCACAGATATTCAATTTGTGATTA